CCAGTATCAACCTGCTGGGCTCCAGCAATCCTTGCACCTCAGCCTTCTAAGTAACCAGAACTTCAGGCACATGCTACCACAACTGGCTAATTTTTTAAAAAATTTATTGTAGAGACGAGGTCTTGCCAAGTTGCCCTGGCTGGTCTTGAACCCACCATCTGAGGCAATCCACTCGCCTCGGCCTCCCAAAGTGCTGGGATTACAGGCTGAGCCACTGAACCCAGTCAAAACTTCTTTAACAATGAAATTGGCCCAGAAGAAAAGGTTTGATTCCATTCCTGAAGGACCCTTGGTTCTACTCCATTACGATAGTGTGATGTGTCCCCCACGGCCACTTCCCCTTTTTCTTCATCCTCTTCATTTCTCATCTCCTCTCTGCTTACCCCAAACATATTATTATGGGTTGACCTGTGTCTCCCAAAAATATATATTCAAGTCCCAGCCTCCAATACCTGTGGCTGTGGCCTTATTTGGAAATTTGATGGTTGCAAATATAATCAAGTTAAGATGAAGGCATACTGAATCAGTATGGACCCTACTCCAGTGACTGGTATACTTATAAGAAGAGGAAAATTTGGACACAGATACATGGGGAGAATTCCATGTGGCAACAAAGGCAAAGATTGGAGCAATGCATCCACAAACCAAGGAAAACCAAGGATTGCTGGCAACCATCAGCAGCTAGGGGAGAGGCATAGAACAGATTTTCCCCCTGAGTGCCCAAGAAAGAACCAACCCTGATGACATCTTGATTTCAGACTTCTGGCCCCTGAACTGAGAGAACAAACTTGTGCTTTTTTAAGCCACCCAGTTTGTAGTATTTTGTTAGGGTAGTCCCAGCAAATGAATACATCTATCCAAGGTCATTATTTGGAAATCACCATACTCCTGCATATTAACAGAGCCCTACAAATCTCCAGGGGGCCTGACATATTTCCAAATGTATACTGAAGATGAGTCATCACTGTGTCTACTGTGGACCTATGACAACAGGATGCCTGACTTCCCCATATGAGGAAGGCCTTCCACATTATTATTTAGCAAGAAGAGGATGCGGAATGTGGTGGGAGTGGTTGGTTTGCAGCTGCTATTTTTCCAACCAGGGAAGAAAAATGGGCTTTTATCAGTATAAGAATATTGTCAAAGTCACTTATTTTTACTCATTCAGGAAATATGCATGGAATACCTACTATGTCGAGCACTGGTGGGTGACTGGATAGAGTTGGGGAAGGAATGCTAAAGAAACATAACACACATTCCCTGAGTCCTGCAAGCCAAGCTGGAGATGGAGGCCTGTAGGTAGCATGGACTTGGGAATCAGATAGTCCTGGCTTGAATGCTGGCTCTGCCATTGACTTCCATGGTGATCTTGGACAAGTTACTTCATCTCTTGGGGCCTTAGACTTATTGTGTAGATTAAATAAGATGATGTATGTAGTTCAAAGTCAGGGTACATGCCCAGTAAATGTTAGTTATTTCCTTTACTATAGAGCACAGATGTTCACCAGAAACAGCTTAGTAAAAGAGCCTGATGATTTTCATTACGCATGACCTCTGTCCCATTCAGGCCCTCATCACCCCTTGCCAGACACTGTCTGACTGGAGGCTCAGAACTACTCCAGGAGAAAATCAGTCTCATTTCACCAATAACAAAACTGTGGCTCAGAGGTGTAAAATATCTTGGCCAAGTCACAGAGTAAAAGATGTGACAAAGACAGGTGCAAACTAGAACTCTCAAGCTCTCATTCTTCCTATTCCTGAGTAACATTTATATGAGCACAAGTCAGAAAGGGTTATAGGGCATCACATACTTAGGAGAGGCCCTAGGGCCAATTAAGGCCACATTTGCCCCTATAGAGGAAACATTGTACTGGACTTAAATATTTATTCTTGATTATCAAACACATCTAGTGCCTACTACTGGGTGTTCTAAGTTCTTTATGTTGGTAACTCATTTAATCTTAACAAGAGCATATAAGATGGGAACTGTTATTCCCATTTTACAGATTTGGAAAATAATTTGCAGAGGTTACGTAACTTTCCTAATGTCAAACAAATAGTCACAGGTGGATTGGCTACTGGAGTGTGCCCAAAGTGGGGAATAAAAGGATTAACAAGCCTACACACAAGTCACCCTTTGGTGATATTGCTGCATGAAGGCCATGAGTCATTGACCCTATAGGGTGAATGGCAGGATGTGGGTTGTTCAGTCAACAGCTTCTCATCCCTGGTCCACTTTCTGAACTCTTTGCACCTCAGCTTTGGAAACGTTGGGGAAAGAACTCATTTTCTGTGGTCAGGAAGGACAAGACAAGTTCCTGATGACAGCTCATCTCCCTCATTAAGGCACTCATAAAAGTGTTTCAAGGAGGCTGACTTATGGTTCCACTGTTTGTCAAGATCCCTTCTGCATGGAGCCACTCTGGTAATTTGGTGCTAGGAGATGTGCAAGAGAAACCAACTCCTTTGAGTCCAGGAATAATTTATGATCCCAAGAAGGAGGAACGTCACTTGGAGAGATAACAAGCCTTCACCAGCACAGCAGTCTGTTTAATACACCAGGAGGGATTGGAGGCAGCTTCAGAATTCCAAAGGCAGTTAGGAAGCCTTGAGAGATTCTGTACACGTGGGTTGTCTGTTCCTAGGAAAACTCCTGGGACAATAACAGAAATGATAATAGTTAACAATTAAGGAAGGCTTATCCCTGACTAGAGCCTATACTGAAAGTTTTTTAGACATTAACTCATTTAATTCTCAAATATTTCTATTGTGAGGAACAGGAATAGACACAGAGAAGGTAAGTAACTTACCCAATGAGTGGCCAAGTCAGGATTTTAACCCAAGTAGGTCTGCCTCTACATTTGTGCTCCAACCACAAGACAGTCAGTTTAGGAGGAAATTGCGTTTTAAGTCAATCCAATGAGGTGAAATGCGCATATATTCAAAATTATCTTTGATAATCCCTTAAAATGTCTATAAAGTTTAGTATACTTGGTTTGATGCATACAGCCCTGGTCCAGTAATTCATAATACATTAAGTTAGAGAACACTGACCCAAACAAGTCTATATGCAGATGTGTGTGCTTTTAAACTACTCTGCCTTTAGCTAACTGTCAAATCCCTAGAGGTAAACATGGAGAGACAGAGAGTTCTAGATTGTCCCTACCTACCTGGTGATTCTATTATCTTCTAATATTTAGCCTCCGTGACCTTAACACATGTCACTTGTCACATATATTTTTGCAGTAGGATTAAGAGATATAGTCGTGTCTTGAGAGGACAGAAAGGTCTATGAGATGCAAGGTTCTAAAGTCCAATTCTAAATTAAATAAGCTTGGGACAATAAGACTCCACGAGTCTAGCTTTGTAGTCAAATAAACCTGGATTTGAACCCTAAATCTGCTAGTTATTAGCTGTGCAACCTTGGGTAAATTTGCTTAATTTCCCAAAGTCAGCTTCCTACTCTGTAAAATAGTCATAGTAATTCTACCATGTTGAGAGGATTGAATTAAAGTTTCTAAAATAGTGAGCATGAGCACAAATCATGGTAATTAAGTATTAGCTCTTAATAGCTGTTTGACCCAAGGCATGCCACATAACCTTTCTGAGCCTCATTTCCTCTCATCTGTAATTTGGGCATAACTACTCTGCCTACCATACTCAAAGGTCAAACAGTAAAGCACTGTACATATTATGTATGAGCATTTTCTCAATAGTTTAGTATACCTGGAATTGTAAGGAGGTGCTACGAGACCCCTGCTGGAGAAAATACCTCAAGAGAGTCCTGAGCCAGCAGTGAGAAATGAGCTCAGATCTCCACTTTTGTCATCTAGTGTGGTTGTGTGATTTTGGGTGAATAATCTAGTCTCTCTGAGCCTCGGATTTTCCTATCACGTGGGTTAATAGAGCAGACATCATAGGCTTACCCGGAGAATCACATTCTACTGGAAAGTATTAGGCACGTGGTAAGTGCTCAATGAATGTTTGCTGTGTCTGGCTAAAACAAATTCAGCACCTCTCCACCCGCTAGGTGGGAAAAGTATGCGATGTTGCCGCACAGAGCTCAGATAGAGGGGATGACCTCAGGGCGCCACTGGGTTCCAGCGCCTACCCACTCCCCCGCCCGCCCAGTCGTTGCCATGACCACCCGTTTTGGCAGAGAGCAGCACAGAAGCGCGTTCAGCCCATTCCCTGTCTTTCCCGAGTGACCTTTGGCTGGAACGGACACGTGATTCGCGCTGGTATGCTAATATATGGTAATCATCCTCACACCCTCCCCCGGGCCGCGTCCGAGTAGCCAGCTGGGTACGCGGAGCCGAGTCGAGGGGGCGGACTGAAGGGCGGCCCCCGGAAGAGCCACCAGGTGGAGGAGAAGCGCGGAAGCGACCGCAGGTAACGCGCGTGCGCGTACGCGCTGGGGCCAGGAGGCGGCGGGCGAGCCCCGAGGTGGAGACGCCGGCCGCCTTGCGGCTGGCTTAACTCTTTGGGCACCCAGCTGTTACTGCCGGGTCAGAACGCGGCGATCCGACTGGCCGCGCCGGGCGAGGCACTGCCATGGGCAACGGCAAGCGAGCGACGGCCAGCCTAACCAGGGATCCGCGGCGTTGGGCCCGCGCGGGAACCCAGCAGTCCTGGCCGGCCACCGACGAACCGCGGCGCACCGGGGCCGGGATCCCGCCGCGACAGCGGCTGAGGGGGGCTCTGGGGCCGAGGCTTGCAGGAGGCTGCGGGAAACCGGGACTAGCTGAAGTCCCGGCACACGCGCGCCTTCTCGCGGGCCCGATCCCCTTCCCGCATACTGTCCCGTGCCTCCGTAGCTCTGCGCAGCCTGCTTCTCCGCTCGTTCCGCGGAGTGCTCGGAGACCCAGGGGTCCGGCGGGACCGAGGCGCCCCATTCGCAGCCGCGGCCTGACAGCCCAGCCGCCGGCGCTTTTGACCCAGAGTCAAGGCACGCGTGAGGGGGCAACGGCAGAGGGAACCGGGAGTTGCTGGAACTGGGAAGAGGACAATCCCCTGAAGGAAATGCAGGCCCCCAAATTGCAGAAGGGATGCCCAAGAAAGCGCTGGCCCTTTGTTTTCTATGCTAGGTGATGACCTGACACTCATGGGAAGAGGTGACTGCTGGACACCTGGATCGGGTCTGTTACGTAGAGAGGAAGCGGCCGTTCTTACATAAGTTTCTAACACACTTCTTATAAGGCAAGGTTAAATTCATCTTACATCATCCCTCCACCCCCACCCCCCGTCCTAGGACTGCTACAGAAGTGTCTTCTTGTAATTATCCCGCCTCTCCCAATTCTCTAAGACTGGTGGAAGCTTAGGTCGAGAGATGTGCCACTGACATTGCCCTGGGAGTTTCTTGGAAGTATGGGGGAATAAATGTTTCTATCACCAGTAGAGATGAAAAACGGTCTAATGTATCAGTGATATCAGTAGAGTTTGCTTATGAATTTAAACTTTCTTCTAAATCAAGGGAACACGTGGTTACATATTAAAAGTACCAGGAACCAATTTGATTTTGCAAGTGAAGTGCAAATTGCACTTCCATGGTGCTCTTGATGTCTCTTTATCACACAACAACAAACACTAGGCATATGCCAGGCACTCTACTGTGTCTTGGGGATACAAAGATGAATAAGATAATCAGTCCTTGTCCTGAAAGAAGTGGTGGAAAAAATTGCTAGTAAAAGTGATTAACAGAATAATAGATGGGTATGTAAAGAGCCATGGAAGTACAGAGAAGGGAACAATTAGCTGCCTGAGAGGACCAGGGAAGGCTTTACAGAGAACACATTTCAGCAAGGTGTTGAAGGATGAATAGGAGTTGGCCTTGCAGAGAAAATTGGAAAGAACAGGAAGGGCAGCCAAAACAGAGGGCACAGTGAATGCAGCCACATAAAGAGTATGGTATCTCCAGGGAGTAGCTTGATATCACAACCATGGCCTTTTCCTTCCTTGTAATTTAACTTTCTAAAAGTAACCTAGAATTTCTCATTCCTACCACGGTTTTCCACTGGCATCTTTTTTCTTATGGTTTGTCTCCCCCATAGTTTTCCCTCTTCAGTTTTTCTGAGGCTCACTCCTGGTCTTTATTATCCAAATCTTTCCAAGTTAGGGTCTAACGAATAGAAGTGGAAGGGGAGTAACAAATAACAGTTCTGAGGTAGAGGGCCTGAAAACTAGGCCTAATGAGTGACACTAGAGGCAGCATCCTGAGAGGGATAATCTAATTGACACAAAAAGTCCCAGGGAAGAAATGCTGGTCTTAACTAGGGAAGCAATGCTGGATGTCAAATCTGTGAGACCTGGGGAAATGAGTAATAAGATCAGAAACTGGAAGATCTAGTTTAAGAGAGGACTGGTCTGTGATAAGCAGTTCAGGACTGAGACCAGGAATTATGCAAATGTGATAGAGCCCACTGCTGTGTGGTGCCAGTTGTGCAGAACAGCACGGACTCTGTCAGACAGTGCCGTGTCCTCCACAGACTTTCCCATGCCTCTTTTCTCTTACTTTCCCTCCTTTTAGTCTCTTCTCTTGATCCCAGTCTCCACACATGACTCGCATTTATTGAGCTTCTTTTAATGAGCTCTTAGCCACCAGAGCAAATAAATTTCTGTTCTGTTGCTTTATCGTCTATCTCTAGGACAGTAAATAGTCCATTTTACCTCATAAGCCATCAACTAGTCAGCCTGTCTTTACTTCCTGATCATTCAGAAGCAAAGTAAGGATAGGCTCAGAAGTAGTAAGGTAGACTTCATCCCCAAAACTCACCCACTGTTTGAATCAGATATAAGGCCTTTTTGTTTTGCTTACACCAAAATTTATTTTTAGAATTATTCGTGGTAAACTTTGGACAAATGTCCTGTTTTGAACTGTATTTCAGATCAAGTCTCCTGAAGAAGTTGTCACTGGGTGACATGCCTCATGTACTCTGCTAAGATTGATGATTCTGTAAGTGCTAGAAAGTTTGCAACTTGAAGGTTCATATGTAGAGTATTTACTGTATGTAGTACAGTACAACAGCTGGCATACAGGGGCTGGCACTGAGTGAACAGGCAAGAAGAGTTACTGACTGGAAGTGGGAGAGGAGGTAGGAGATGGTACAGCTGAAGGATTTTCAGCAATAGGAGACGGAGGATGAGCTGCAGTTTCACTCACGCCTGACGTTGATGGCACAGGTTCTGGTTCCTTGCTGGATTCAATTCTATCTTCCCTCTTAAAAAAACGATTCAGTGATGTCTGGATAGTAGCTCTTTTTTTCTCATAATAGATGATACGGTAGCACTGGATTGCATTCTGAATAGCTGCTGCAACCCTTCTGTACCGTTCTACATTTGGGTCCTGTGCCTCAAAAACTAATAGTGCCTCCTCAAATAAAGAAAATCCCCTTGCCATTTCCTGCATCGTGAATCTCTTCGGTTCTTCAGTCACTTCTTCCTCTTGTTTTTCTTCATTTTTTCTCTGGGCCTCCAGTTCCATCAGATCTTCATTAGTAAGTTCCTCATGTTGCACAGCAAGGAGTTCAATAAAATCATCCTCTTGCAGATCGAGCTCCAACTTCTTACTAAGGGCCACTAAGTTGCTGAAGACCTCCTTGGACTCCTCATCCACCCTCTCAAATCCACGATAATCATGAACAAACTGTGGGCAAAGGTTCTTCCAAACCCTATTCATGGTAACAGCTGTAACCTCACACCAAGCAAAGTCAATGTTTTTTATGGCCTTGTAGATGTTATAGTCCTTCCAAAATTGTCTAAAGGTTGTTCCTGATTCATCACTTGCCTTTACTGCTTGATGAAAGGTATGACGTAAATAATATTTCTTGAAAGTCTCTATAACTCCCTGGTCCATAGGTTGCATGAGCAATGCAGTATTTGGTGGCAGATGCACTACTTTGACATTGGGATGAAAGTCATCCATGAATAGGGGGTGGCCCGGAGCATTGTCCAGCAGCAAAAGAATGTTGAATGCAATGTCCTTCTCCAAGCAGTATTTCTCTACCTCTGGGATAAAGTGATGGAGAAACCAGTCCTGGAAAATGGCCTGTGTAACCCAGGCTTTGGGGTTACTCTTCCACACAACAGGAAGAGAGCTCTTTGCTACGTTTTTAAGTGCTCTTGGGTTCTCTGAATGATAAACTAAGAGAGGCTTCAGCTTCATATCACCAGAAGCATTGCCACCAAACAACAGAGTTAGCCTATCCTTTGCTGCTTTATAACCTGGCATTAGCTTTTCCTCCTTACTGATGTAACTTCGGTCTGGCATCCTCTTCCAGTACAGTCCTGTCTCATCCACATTAAAAACCTGCTCAGGTAAATACATGCCTTCATCAATAATTTCTCGAAGAGTTTCAGGAAATTCCCGAGCAGCTACCATATCTGCACTCGCTGCCTCGCCACTTAATTTTACTTTGTGAAGGCTGGCTCTAGCCTTGAACCGATGAAACCAGCCATGGCTGGCATTAAAAGATGTGCTCTCTGATTCTTTGCCGTGTTTCTTCTTCAAGTCTTCATAAAGACTTTTAGCCTTTTCTTGAATCAGCATTAAGCTAAGCGGGACTTGACGCTGATGCTGATCCTGCATCCACACACTGAGAAGTTTTTCCATCTCCTCCATCACTTTTCCACGCTTCTTTGATATTATTGTTGACATCATTGGCACAGCAGACTTCACATGTTCCATAATCTTGTCCTTGTTCTTTAGAATTGTGCAGATGGTTGAACGATTCATGTTATAAGAACGAGCGACGTCTACCATCTTTTCGCCTCGCTCCACTCTCTCAATTATTTTTGCTTTTGTTTCCATCGTTATTGCTTGGCGCTTCTTAGCAGTACCAGCTACATCACCACTGCTTTTACGCTTGCTTCCTGATATGCTGAACTTCAAATAAAGATACAGTATATGAAAAGATGTTTAACATCATATGTCCTTAGGGAATTGCTTTTTTTTTTTTAAAATGAGATACCACTATACACCTATTGGAATGGCAAAAATCCAAAACACTGACATCATCAAATGCTGGAAAGGATGTAGAGCAACAGGAACTCCCATTCATTGCTGGTTTAAATGCAAAATGGTACAGACACATGAACATTACAGCAGCTTTATATATACCTGCCAAAACTTAGACACAACCAAATGTCCTTCAGTAGCAGATGAGTGTATAAACTGTAGCACATCCAGACAATGGACTATTATTCAGCACTAAAAAGAAATGAGCTGTGAAGCCATGAAAAGGCATGGAGAAAATTTAAATATGTATTACTAAGGGAAAGAAGCCAATCTGAAAGGGTTGCATACTGTATGGTTCCAACTATATTACATTCTGGAAAAGGGAAAACTATGGAGACAGTAAAAAGATCAGGGTTACCAGGGGCTAGGGAGAAAGAGGAATAAATAGGCAGAACACAGAGAACTTTTAGAGCAGTGAAACTACTCTACTTGTCACTATAATGGCAGATAGATGTCAGTATACATTTGTCACAACCCACATAATGTCCAACGCTAAGAGTGACCCCTAATGTAAACCATGGGCTTTGGGTGAGAATAACGTGTCAATGTAGGTTCGTCAGTGGTAACAAATGTACCCTCGGTGTAGGGATATTGACAGTGGGGGAGGATAGATGGGAATTCTGTACTTTCTGCAATTTTGCCAAGAACCTAAAACTGCTCTAAAATATAAAGCCTTATTATTTTTAAGTCCTGTACACCTGATGGGGGAGGGGTTCTGCAAGATGGTGATGACAGAAGAAACAAGCTAAAAAAAAAAAATAACAAAACAGAGCTGAAAGATCCCTTTTAGGAAAATATCTGAGGGGCCATTTAGTCCTGTAGACACCAACCTTTCTCAGATGGTGGTTTACTTTAAGAAACATAGTTAATATATTTTATATCATTATTAAGATTTGGAAAAATTTTACTTGCAGAGATTGTAACTAAGTTATGTACCTTGCAGCATAAGATCACAAACAACAACAAATGTGCCTGAAAAAAACAAGCTCTTTTGCCACTTGCTCATTTGTTTTGAAATTTCTGAACACTAAGGAGGAGGTAGAAAAGTTTAAAAAAAAAAAGTCATAGGGAAAAAAACACATAATAGAGAAGATTCCATTACTTTATTTTTTCTCAATTTTAGAAGCAG